CTAAAATTTTATTTTATTTTTTCCTCCTATGGTACTGGAGACTGAACTCTGGTTCTTGTACTTGCTAAGCGAGTACTTTGCCACTTGAACCATACCTCTAATCCCTTTGCAGTTAGTTTCTTTTTCTGATAAGGTCTTGTGCCTTTTTTCAGGGCCAGCTTTGGTCAATAATCCTTTTATACCACCTTCTGAGTTTTGGGATGACAGGGATGTACCAGTTTAGATAGGGTTCTTTCTTTTTTTTAAAAAAAAATAAGTTTTTTTTAATTGTGAAAATACTGTACAGAGGGGTTACATTTACATGAGCAAGGTAATGAGTATATTTCTTATCAAGCATTGTTGCCTCCTCCTTTGTTTTCCCACTACTATCCCTTCCCTTCCACCTCCACAACTACACTTCCCCCTCCACCTCCCTGCTGCCTAAATTGTAAAGTTCGTTTTTCAACATAGTGTCTTGTACATCACATTGTTGCGATGGTTCTTGCTAACTTTTTTCCAGGCTTGTCTTGAGCAATGATCCTTCTGTCTCTGTCTCCTGAGTCTTTGGGATTACAGCCTTGAACCATCATTCTTGGTGGAGTTGATAAGTTTTGACCAAAAATTTTAGAGGTCACAGAACAATCATAATTTCTTCCTTTGACTATATAATCACCATGGATAGTTTCAAATTGTATTGTTATTTTTAGAGTTCTGCACTGTAGTTTATAATGAGAAATACTTGTGTATGATGATATGTTTCTTTCTCTATTTGATATCCTTAAGGAAGGAGAAAACTTCAGAAAGCCTTAATGGCTTTTATGATAGACTTTCTTAACTATTTTTGGTTTGAGCCTCGTTAGGGTAAGAATGGGATATCAATGAAATGTTTAGTTGTAGTATTTTATACATAATTCTGAAAATCTTTACCCGAATTATAGATTTCTTTTTTTTTAGTTATATTTACCCCCTTTTGTCATGTAGTCTCATTTTCTGGATTTTGTGGTTTTATTTATTTATTTTTTGTTGTTTGAGATAGGCTGTCATCATGTACCCCAGGCTGGCCATAAACATACAATACTTATGTTCCACCTTCCTGAGAGCTGATATTAAAGGCATATCCCACTGTGCTGGCATACATTTCAGTTTTACTACAAAATCTTTGTCTAGTAAGAGACTATGGTTTTTACTTGTTAATTGGTCATATTGATGCCAGGCCCGCTTACCCTACCTCTCTCTTTCCCTTTCTTTTTTCCTTTTTTTCCCCACTTCATTGGTGCTTTCTATAGTCTTCATGGTAGTAAAAAGAATTCATAGTGCTTTGAGGGACTAAAGTCAAGCAAATTATGCTAATGTTATTTATTGCAGGACATTAATAGATCTAGTATTCTCACTTTTTTTCCTACAATTGCTCTAATATTGCTAGAGCAATCTTAGATACTGATTTTTTGGTGTTTGTTATGAATCATATCTTGGTATGAGAATTGTTTAAAGCACTATTTTGAGTAAGAACTCACTAAAGATTATGGAGGGTAGAACTTTTTCTTCTGAATGGTAGTGATAGTTGTAACAATTTATAATTGCTAACTCCTTTTCAGTTTACAGTGTACTTTCATCCCAAGTGTTTTTTTGTTTCAGCTTTGCATTAGTATAATGAACATATTCATACTTGGGAAATGTGGTGGTGATTTGAAGGTTGTGCCTTGAGTTGATTCTTAGAAGGAGTTTATAGTCTTTTCCATTGTTTATCTAGAGAGGTGACAGGGTAGATGTAAAAGATGATATAGATTTGTAATCATAGACATGGACTTGAATCTTAGTTCCATAATTTAATATCTTGTGGTTTGGGGCAAATTACTTTCTCTTAAAAACCCAGTTTTATCATTTGTGTTAATGAGGGTTATATAATTATGTAGTAGTAGCTGATTTAGTTAAAACATTAAATTATAAATATGAAATTAATTTGTTATTAATTAAAACATTTAATTAACAGCATGAAATATTCTTAGGAAGCTTGATTTCAATTTGGAGTCAGGTATCTATTTATTGTATTATAATGTTGAATGCCTTTCTGCTTTGCTGACATTCTGTATTTCTAGATATTAGAGAACTTACTAATCTTACTGCAATTACCTTCTTGCTTGTTTTCTTTCCCCATCAGACTGAATTCCTTGAGAAAACAGGTAGGATAGCAGTTTGCTTTCCTGTTTTACTCAAGGAGATATTAAGAGAAGATTGAGCTACTTATTATTCACATCTGCTGTTTGTGTTAGTAATAATATCTATTTCTGACACATATTCCTAATAAATATTTCTGGTCTCCATAGGAAGCCTGATGTGTTTTAATGAAGTACTTTGAAAATGACTAATAACTTGATAGTAAAAAAATTAGGTAATTTTGATCTGGAAGAGCTAAAGTTTGTATACTGTGACTGTCCTGTTTTCTAGAAGAAAAAACATGTCAAGAAGGGCTACGTGAAAAATAAAAGTGTCCTGAAAAAAAGAAGGGCTACGTGCTTTCTAAGATTTCACTTCTGGTTGGAACTCTAGGAAAGGAGTTTTGTATCAAATTATGGTGACGAGTATTTTCATTTATGGAAAATCCAAAGCTTTAAGACTCTTTGTTGGTTCTGACCAGCAGATCCAGAGTGATTGATGAAGAAATTCAGTGATATCTCAGAATATTGTTTATTAAATAATTAATATTTCAATTACCACTCCAGTTACCACCTTGGGGTGAGGAATGAGTTTAACTGACATAATGTTAAGCTCTGCTTAACCTCTCTCCTAACCTCTGCTATTATAAATTCAAATTAGCCCAGGACATACTTAAGAGGAGTTATAGGAAAATAGACATTCCAAGGTACAGGAGATTAAAAAAAAATCAGGAAGCACTTAAGCAGTTTTGGCAAGGCATCTAGAAATGTCCTCACTAAGATAAGTATATATAGGAACTCTGTCTTTTGACAAGAATCAATATAAAGATCAAATAGTCATAATCCTGTGTTTTTAGACACAGGATGGAAAAAACCCCATTCAACCAGGGTTTTCCGCTATTATCATTCATACTTCAAACACATTGTCAAATCTCCTGCAGCTAGGAGGGTTCCCACAGCTCCTAGCAATGGATTACATTGGTAAAAAAATATACTTAACCATTTACCCAGAAGTGTTTAAGAAATTTTATGAAACAAGGAACCTGAGAAAAGTAACAAAATTCATTTTTAACGTATACTATTTTGATATTTATTAATTTATTACAATGAGAATAGTAGTTTCGTAATGTAAAAACATCCTTTTGATAGATAAAAATTTCTTTAAAAATCTGTGAGCAGTGCAAGGTGGAGCACAATATTATAAGAAAGTATGAAATATCTTTCCTCATTTTCACGGTTGAGACCAGTTTTCATATGTGAAAAATTCAATCTTTTATTGTTACTTAGCAAGAGTTTAAGACAAGAGTAGATGAAATAGAAGAAATAGTACAGTGAAATGTGTGATCGATTATTAATTTGTACAGACTATTCATTGTCTGCAGTATGGAATAATCATTAAAATTATCAATATTAGAATATAGTAATTCTGTGTACTAGGTTATATTTTTCCATTGGCATAGGATACATTTTCAAAATTATCCTTGTAATTTATCAACTTTTTTTTTTTTTTTTTACTATATTCATGATTTCTTTTGGATACCACAAGGGAACATTGAATAAGGCATCCTCAGGTAGTTACAGAAAGTATTTTTTTTTTTTGGGGGGGGGTCCGGTTGTGGGGCCTGAACTCTGGGCCTGGGCGCTGTCCCTCAGCTCTTCAGCTCAAGGCTAGCACTCTACCACTTGAGCCACAATGCCACTTCTGGCTTTTTCTGCTTATGTGGTGCTGAGGAATGGAACCCAGGGCCTCATGCATGCAAGGCAAGCACTCTACCACTGAGCCACCTTCCCAGCCCACAGGAAGTATTTTTTTTTAAAACAACTTTTTAAGCTCACATTTGGTTAGGACCAATCACTTACTTTTTCATGTGGGAAAAGACCATACTTCTAGGAAATTAGGTGGTTGGAAAACAAGAAAAACCAGATGACTGGAGGTCTGCCACTAGTTTGAAAATTAAAAAAAAACAAAAACCAAAAAACTTTGTTTAATTTAGTTACATTGTCTATCTCTTCTATAAGACACTTCCTAGCATATCACATTTTGGGAAGATAGATTGAAAACCCTATTAAATGGTATACCTCGTTGGAAGATGGATGTCCTGATAGATTTACTTTGCTTGAATTAAAGATCTGTTTAATAAGATTATGAATTTGAGTGAATTGTTTAACTCTAGACTTTCCTTACCTGTAAATGTTAGTTAACAATAGCCTAGAAAATATAAAAATTTTAGTTTAATTGCATTTTAGAGCTTATGAAAATCCTTTACAAGAGCAGTAGTGTTGGTAGGATTCCTGAAGCTTTTCTAGCATTATCTACATACAGTATGTAGATAAGAGTATATGAATGATATTTTGGTTAAAATCCTCACTAGTATAAGAGCACATTTAATAATGAAGTCTCTCTAATTTATAAACAAAACAGAGAATATAATATTATATTATATGACTGTTGAGGGTCAGGGGCTTCTGATAGTCTGCAAAGAAGTATAGTGCTTTGTTATTTTCAAAAACTTACTTTTGTTTTACAACTGGCTTAATTGGTCTTGACCATAGCAGTTTCAAGGCAACTAAAATCTCTTATCTCCCTAGAAACTGATTTATATCTCATTACTATACAGTTTGTATCCATTTTTAGGGTAGTTTCTGATTCTGTAATTCTTTATGTGTAAAATAAAGGTTTTGAGATTTTTTTATGACTTCATTATTTTTATGTGATTTTATTGTATATCTTGAGGAATTTTTATTTCTGATGTTCCTCTCAAAAAGCTATTTATAAGTACAAAGCTCAGATTGTATGACTATTATAAACAAGGCTTTTTTTGTATTCTTGATACCTGATTTCTCCTTTTTTCTTCTCATTATTTTCAGATGTTTTGGAATGTTATTAAGTCCAGGTCGAAATGTGAAGAACAGTGATATGCATTTACTGGATATGGTAATGACAATCTTAAGCACCTTAACTAAATGCAGATGTAGTTATATTTTTAAAGTATACTTTTATAATTTTGTCAAGTTATCAGAATTACTTCTTTTAGGTATGTTATATCTTTTCTTTAAAATACCAAATGTACAGTTGTAACAAATATTTTTTAAGTGAATGCAGTATCTTTGTTTGATTAAAATGTACTGATTGTTTAAATATAGTTAATTTGAATCCTATGATGTTTTAAGCATTTCTTTAAAAAAAAATCTTACCTTGATTATTTGCCCTTCGTAAAGTATATTTACTATATTTCTTTAAGGAATACCAATAAAGATTAACACATTTTCAGGGGTTGGTATTTGGTATAAAAGTAGCAAAAACCTTGGCTTAAATTTTTTTTTTTTATTTTATGTTGGTCTTCGGGTTTGAACTCAGAGCCTGGGCTTTGTGCTTGAATTTCTTTGCTCAAGACTAGCACTTTACCACTTGGGTCACAGTTCTACTTCTGGATTTTTGGTGGTTAATTGGAGGGAAGAGTCTCATGGACTTTACTTCCTGGGCTGGTTTTGAAATGGAGTCCTCAGATCTCAAGCTTCTGTAATAGCTAGGCTTATATTCAACTAGCACTCAGCAAGAATCTTAACTTTAGACAGAAATATTTTCTGATTCTTTTTAGTTAGTGACATTTATTTTGTGAATTAGAAATGTTATAAGAAATACAGTAAGTATAAAGTTCCTTATTTAGTAAACAGATTTTTATGTTTAGTAGTAATGGGCACTGCATATTTTGTTCTTTCTAATAATGATTTGTAAATATTAGTTTTATACACCTGTGTCAGGTTTTATTTTTTGAATTAGTAATATCAGCAGTGATTTTTTAAAGTTTTATTGGGATGCTGTATATTTTTTAGGTGCTTGTGTATGTGCTGAGCATTGGGTGAATTGCTGGGGTTTACACATAAGTAAAACAATTCTTAGCATCTTTGGGTTCAGTCTTTTGTTGGAAACCTTTTTTTTTTTTGGGTCCGGTTGTGGGGCCTGAACTCTGGGTCTGGGTGCTGTCCCTCAGCTCTTCAGCTCAAGGCTAGTGCTCTACCACTTGAGCCACAGCACCATGTCCAGCTTTTTTCTTTTTTGCTTATGTGTGCTGAGGAATCAAAGCCAGGGCCTCATGCATGCAAGGAAAGCATTGTACACTGAGCCACCTTCTCAGCCCCATTGGAAACCTTTTAAGTATGTGACCACAGCAATGAGTTAAAATGCTCTTTCTAGTGTACAGTGAGCCATGGAAATGTAGACAAAGCTGCCTAGATAGGTCAGATGAAGATAACCAATTATATTGAATATAAAAAGGTAAATACGTTTTTTAAAAATCCCTTTCTCTTCACCTGTCTGTACAACCTATCAGTCATGAATGTGATTTTATATAAGGCAAAACATAGTGTTTTGGAGTTTTGAGTGCTCTATATAGTTTTTTTTTTTTTTTTGTCGGTCGTGGGGCTTGAACTCTGGGCCTGGGCGTTGTCCCTCAGCTCTTCAGCTCAAGGCGAGCGCTCTACCACTTGAGCTTCAGCGCCACTTGCGTTTTGGAGTTTTGAAAATTGCAAGTACAAGGAAGTATTTGAGGGGCACTGAGACATAAAAACTTCAAAAGATATTGGGTCCTAATTATGGTCTTTCATCAGAGTTTAACAAATAGAGTTGCACCACTGGCAGAGATTTAGCCATAAAACTGAATTTTTATGCCCCCTTGTCTAGCTAGCGGAGCATTCTTCCTTCTTAGTGCCATTAAAATGAAAGGCCTTGTCAGCCTTTGTGCTTCTGAAAAGTGGGCTTACCTGAACAACAAATAATTGGGCAGATGTTTGTACTTGTTATCATCAACAGTTGTGATTTGTTAAAACCAAGTGTTGTTAATCTTCCTGACATAATTTTAGTCAAGGGTCAATGACCACATATTAAAATATCTAATAAAAAGGAACTCATTACCATATATTGGAGCTTGTAGACCATATATGATTACTACAAGGTTATTTCTTTCTAATCAGGTGAAATATTTCTTGTAATTTTCTCTAATTAGTCTTCGTTCTGCCATCTAGAGAAATTAATACTAATATTCCTTTGACCCAGGCAGCTGGTCATGGCAAACTGACACAAATTTTCTGCTACTTTACTTATTTGGATAGTCTGAAAATGCATATATAAAGATAATTTGTGATATCTTTATTTTGAACTTTTTTCCCTCAGTGCTACAGATCAAATCTAAGGGCTTGTGTTGGCTTAACAAATAAATACTCTACCACTGAACTGAATCTCTAGTCCTGTTTTTCTTTTGTTTTCTTTTATTAAATTTAATTTTATTGTCAAAGTAATGTACAGAGGGGATACAGCTACATATGTAAGATAATGAGTATATTTCTTGTTGAACATTTTACCCCTCCCTCATTTTTCTCCCACTTTTCCTCTTTCTCACCCCCCTCCCCAAGTTGTAAAGTTTATTTTCAACATATTGTCTGAGTGTTGCTGTTGCATTGGTTCACCCTTTGTCCTTTGTCTCACCATTTTGTTGTTCCCTTCCCCAATTAATATAATATATATAAAAGACAAATCAGGGATTCTTCCACTTATGTCCTCCAGCTCTTTTTGTTTTTATTGTTTTTCAAATAGGGTCTTGCTTTTGGCTTGCATTGGCCTGGTCTGATCTTCTTAATGTGTACTTTTTTCACATAGCTTGCACCATTGTAAGCCGTTTTTGTATTGGATTAGATGGGTTCTCACAAACTTGTTTTTGCACTGCTTGGCTTCAAACCAGGATCCTCCTGATATGTACCTTCTGAGTAGCTAGTATTATAAGGCATGAGTCACAGCTCCCAACCCTGTTTGAATAGTTTTTTTTTTTTTCAAGCCCCAGTCTAGGGGCTTGAACTCAGGGACTGGACTCTGTCTATACTGCTCTGTGCTCATGGCTAGCACTCTAATACTTGAACCACAGTGCTACTTCTGGCTTTTTCTGAGTACTTTATTGGAGATAAGAGTCTCATGGACTTTTCCTGCCTAGTCTTTGAACTCTGATCCTTAGCTCTCAGCCTCCTGAGTAGCTAGGATTATAGGTGTTAGCCACTAGCTCCCAGCTTGAACAGTTTTTAAGCAGTACTGACTTTTCCTTTTTGTGAATATTTTCTAATAGGCAAGGTGCATTGAGACTTTTTAGTTTAATAAATCTATAAGTGTTTAAGATCTTCATAAGCTATACATATAAATGAAGCTTTTTTTGGTTAAATAGATAGTTTTGTTATGCTTATGTATACATACACACTTGGTATAATCATCTACATAAATTCATACAAATAAAAACTGGTATTTTTTTCAGTACTAATAACAGTCAGATTTCTTCCAAAATGAGAATAGTTTTGGTCAAGGAACTTACAGTGTAGGAATAAGGAAATAGTTTTTTTTTTCTTTTGTTTTTAGCCTGTATAACTCATGCTTACCTTTAATTCACTAGTTCCTTGAACTCATGATCCTCTTACAGGCTTGCACCATTATACCTAGTGAAAATAATCATATTTAACCTATACCTATTGATACCTAAGAAACTAATGGCAAAACACCAAGAAAAGCAAAAAACTTAGAGTTTGGTTTCTTTCTTCTGGAAAATAATTTAAAATTTATGTTCATGGATTATTTATTGATGATATGCTAGAAACTGAATCCATAGTTACAACATAGATTTTAAATTGTAATCCAGTATACTCACAATGTATGTGCATATCTATAAAAACTGAAGCAAAAGTTTTGTGAAACAGTATTTAATCCTTACACATGTGATAAAATCTGTTTTTCTTCTACTGGTTTTGTTCTTGTGCAGTCGCTATCCTTTCTTCTTTGATTCCCTTCTTTTTGCTTTTCAACATGTGCTCTCCCTTAATTTCTACAAGTGTATTTGTTTATTGTCTGCTTTATTTACAATTCTAATCTTGAGATCTTCCTTCTTTAGCTTCCTGAAGGCTGGATTATAAGTGTGAACTACCACATCTAGTTCCTACACTATGTGTGCGTGTGTTTGTGGCATAGTGATTAAACTCAGGGTCCCCTATAAGCCAGACAAGTGCTCTGCCAGTTGAGTCACCTCCTTTGCCCTTTAGTTTATTTTAGTTTGACCCGGGGGTTTGTTGACTTTGCTCCATTTGACCTTCAACATGTGCTCCTCCTTCACTTACTCTGTAGCTGGGAATATGGGTATGAGCCACCACTCTGTTCCTACATGCTATTTTTTAAAACACTTTTCTGATGTAATAATTCATAACTCTCTTTTATATGTGTCCTGTTACAGCCTAACTCATCACTAAAACCTTTCAGCTTTTTCTGCTAGCTACCACATTCCTTGGTATTAATTCAAAGAGAGATCATTATTAGTTTAGCTCATCTTTTTGAACTCAAAACAGAACAAAATTTCTGGTCCAGAGATTGGGATCTTTTGGATCAGAGCACATTCCTGTTCAGGGGAGGTAGAAGGGGGTGATAGGGAGAGAGGAGAAGAAAGGGAGAGAGGGAGGGATTGGAAAGAGGTGAGAGAAAGAAAGGAAGTTTATAAATATATGTGTTTGGATAGATTGATTGATACATAGATACTGAGTAGACTTCCTTTGCAAATGGTCTTGAATTACTTTATTTTTGAAATTCAGGATCACTGAACTCAAGCTACAAAATTTAATTAGTAAATCCTTGCTAATATATTAAAATATACATAATAATTACCAAATGACTGACATAATCTTATAGTAATTTGGAGACCCATCTGTGAAGGGATAATAATAATAAAAATATGGAAGATTTTTTTTTCTGTTTTAGTCTGATCTTTTTAGTACTCTTCATAGCATGAGAAAATTGAGTTCTGCAGATACTGTTCTTTTGTTAAAATACTTTTTTATTGTAAAACTACTGTGTACAGAGAGATACTGTTCTTTTCCATATATACATATTTGTATACTTTCAAGATGTTCTGTCATTGGACATCCTCTATTCCTTTCTCCCTATAGACATATGCACAGCTATATGTGGCCTTCTTTTCCCCATGAGAATTGCTAATTTCTTAGCGCATGCATGCACTTAATTCTTAGTAAGAATTAAGGACTTTGTGAAAGTTTAAAATAGAGGAAATGAAGGAGTAGGAGAGAAAAGATGAAGGAATATTAAGGGTAGAGTGATGAAGCTAATAAACTATGTAACTTCAAACCAGAATTAATCTCCTAATACTGATTTATGATAATTTATGAAACTTTACAAATATATGATCATAGATAATAAGTTTGAAGATATTGTATTACTGTAGAGTAAATTAATATTTTAAGAATATATTAAAAACTAGAACATTAAAGGAAAATACTACTCTTTTTATGATTAGACTTTCAGTCTAACTACCTTCAATTAATTCTGTACTATAGTTTTTAATAGAGATTGGTTGCAGCCTTCAGGAAAATGTCAAGTTTAATATAAGTTCATGACATTTTTTTTTTTTGGTTGGTCGTGGGACTTGAACTCAGGGCCCAGTTACTGTCCCTGAGCTCTTCAGCTCAAGGCGAGTGCTCTACAACTTGAGCCACAGTGCCACTCCCAATATAACTTCATAACAATCACAGTGTTGTTGTCCAGTGTGTATGGGTATGCTTTCTTCTATCCAAGAAGTGTATGTTTGTGTATAGAAACTGATTAAAGAAGGCTGTAGGAGAATTTAATGCTTAAAGAAATGCTTTGTTAGGAAAAGAAAAATTACAACAAAAATTAAAGCCCTGCTTTTGCTGTAAATTTGAATCTTAACAAAATGAATCACTTAAAGCTATAATTTAAAATAGTGATTTTATGTATATATTCTCAGTGATTCTTGTTTGAACTTATGTAGGAATCCATGGGAAAGAGCTATGATGGAAGAGCTTATGTTATCACTGGCATGTGGAACCCTAATGCACCAATATTTCTGGCACTTAATGAAGAAACCCCGAAAGGTGAATTCTTAAAATTGTTAAAAATTCAGATGTTTATTTAAGATGAAGATATTCTTACTTAGAATGTGAAGGTCTTTTTCATACTTTGTGCTTCTATGGAAGAAAACCCTATCATTCAAAAGAATTCTCCCAGAAGATGTTAAGTGATTTTTATTGGATTATGTAGAAGGCATTGGGCTTTGTGTTTTATTATAGAGTTGTTTTATTTGGGTGGGAATGATAGAAGAATATGAAAGGTGAAAGCAAACTCATTCTAGATACATATCTTTATTGTTTTAACTTTAAAAATATAGATTATTTATATTCCTCATTTATTCTAGCTTTTGATTTTTGGGATTCTAGAAATAGAAATGCTTTTCCCTTGTTACTTATCTTTTTATTTAACAGGTAATGTTACATAGAAATTTATTTATTTTTTTGCGTCCGGTTGTGGGGCCTGAACTCTGGGCCTGGGTGCTGTCCCTCAGCTCTTCAGCTCAAGGCTAGCGCTCTACCACTTGAGCCACAGCGCCACTTCCAGCTTTTTTTTTTCTGCTTATGTGGTGTTGAGGAATCGAACCCAGGCCTCATGCATGCAAGGCAAGTGCTCTACCAGTGAGCCACCTTCCCAGCCCCTACATAGAAATTTATAAATGTAAAATAATCAGCTTTCATTTTTTCCTAATTTATCTAGTATCTATTACCAATGTTTTTGCCTCTGTATCATCTGCTTTTAAACATAAATATTTAAAGTTTTATTGGATGGATTATAGTCTTACTACAAATACTTTGTCATTAGTCTAATATTTATATTTAGAATATAATGGATCAATTTTCTTTATCTTTAATTTTACATAGCTTAGTTTCTAAATAGGCTTTTGGCTAAAGACAGGAATAATTTGTTACTAAAATGGAAATATATTAATGAAGATAAGGAAAATGATAAACATTTGTTATTTTCCTAAAAGAGATCATGTGTGAGGCTACGTAAAATTAAGGATTGAAAGAGAAAAAATTATTATATAAAATCTACCTTTTTATATTTTAGCAATCTGATTTCTAAGTAGTTTATTTCTAGAGATGGGCTTACAAGTTTCTTCTTTGTAATCACTAGATAGAAAACACAAAAAAGAGAAAAATAAGCCATTTAAAAAGTTTAAAGAGGGGCTAGGAAGGTGGCTCAGTGGTAGAGCACTTGCCTTGCATGCCTGAGGCCCTAGGTTCGATTCTTCAGCACCACATAAGCAAAAAGCAAAAAACCGGAAGTGGTGCTGTGGTTCAAGTGGTAGAGCACTAGCCTTGAGCTGAAGAGCTGAGGACAGTGCCCAGGCCCAGATTTCTGGCCCCACAACCGAACCAAAAAAAAAAAAAAAAAGTTTAAAGAATAAAGTTAGAAATATTAAAGACTAAATTATAAAAGTAGCTTTTATCTGATTTTATTGTTATACATATTTCTGTTTTATATTTTAATACATATTTTATCTTTAAATAGAAAATAATTCTTTTTTTTATTCAATTAAAATAGCCTTTTTTATACTATATTACAACAGTATTCAGATCCAAAGTATGTGTTAAGTTTAAGATCATTTTGTGTGGTACCTAAACATGTTGTTATGAACTTTACAGTTTCCAATTTTTTTCAATTTCTTTTAAAAATATGCATTACTCAGATAATTTATAAGCCAAATAAAATTTAATTTTTTACTGAAGAAGTTTAGGCATTGAGGCAGTTGAATATGACATTCTATGTCTGGTGTTACTTTCTTTTACCTCTTCAGGGTCCTCTAGGTTAGTTACAATGTCTACAGTATTTTAGATTCTCTTGTGTTGACAGGGGTAATACTTAAAGATATGTTGAATTATGTTGAATTTGATAACAATAGAAATATGATAATTATGATTGATATGTAGTGTCTGGAAAAAGAAAAACTATTGAGCCAGGTGATGTAATCTTAGCCACAAAGGAATTGAGGATTGCAGTTTGAAGCCAGCCCAGGAAAGAAAGTCTGTGAGACCCTTACCTCCAATTAACCACTCAAAAGTAGAAGTGGAGCTGTGGATCAAGTGATAAAGTACCAGCCTGAAACAAAAAAATCCTGAGAGACAGCTCTCAGCCTTGAGTTTAAGCCCCAGTATTGGCACATATCCACACAAAAAACATAATTGGAAGTTTTTTCTAATGGTAGTCTTAGTTTGTATTTTCTTTAACTAAGAACTAAAAAGTGCCAGACAAAATAAAGTTTTAAAAAATACATAAAAACTAATGAAAAATTATGAAGTATCATAGATCCAAAATTTCCAATGAATATCAAGCAGGTTCATAAAATTCATATATCAACTCATCTTAATGGGAAACTGTAGAAAACCACTATATATTGACATAGATTCTAGATTGAATGAAGTAGCTGAATGGACACGTTAAATAGTAATAGAAGTTAAGCTGATAACACTGCACTGCTGTTCTCTAAAAGCTCTAGTCAGGCCATTGACACACACAGACCATATACACACACACAAAATTGGGCTGGGGTGTAGCACAGTGGTAGAGCCTTGTACAAGGCTTTGTGTTTAATACCCAGGACTAAAAACATATAAAAAATAAATTAGTTAATTAATGGCAATAAATTAAAAACACAAGCTGTGTTTTACTCTAAAACTCTGGATTTTAAATTATTTTAAGGATCTGATTTGGAGAGATTTGGAGCTGTGATTAAGATTAGGATCATTAGTGTCTGAAAACATACTAACAAGGTAATAATTAAAATATCTAAAAATAAATATATTGGAGGCAATCTGATTGTAAATAACTGCTGTTTTATTAAATGATCGAGGAACAATAAATCCAACATAAACCCCAGAAACTTTCTACTGCAGATAAACGAGTGTACATGACTGTGGCAGTGGATATGGTAGTCACAGAAGTGGTGGAGCCTGTTCGCTTTCTCTTGGAGACTGTAGTTCGTGTGTACCCTGCAAATGAGAGGTTTTGGTATTTCAGCAGGAAAACTTTCACAGAGACTTTCTTCATGAGATTGAAACAGGTAGGACCATTTTGTTTATGTAAACTATAATGACATATTTTCCTTCCTACCTTTCATTTTTCATGCTAAAGTCATTCCTTGAGTAACAACATAAAAAGTTTAATTTTCTCAAAGAATTAAGTGATACTCAAAGTCAAAAAGTGAAAAATAAGTCAGTGATACACAGTTAAAAAACCCCTCAGCTAATATAATGACTATGTACAAAAACCTGCATTGTACCTTTAAATATGAATATACCTAATGGAAATATTGATTATGTATATAAATGACATTTCTTGGTTTCATCTGCAATTATTTGAAACCAAAAAAACAAAACAGAAAAATATTAGATGATTATACAGTTAAAATATGAACAAAATCTCAAGGAATACCTAATTATCATAGTTGTTTCTGCTTGCAATAATAGGTAATCTACATTGTATCAATATCTTGTCTCAGTATCAGTATTAAATTATTTTCATATTAAATGAGAAAAAGTAGAGTTTTTTGGCATCAAGTTAGGCAGCATTTTAGGTAAAATATGTAATTTTTTTTCTAGTAAAAGATGGTAACAGTGAAAAATGATTTGAATTCTCATTGTCTCAGTTTTATAAAATAATGGCAAAATGGTCTATTTAAAATGATGGAAATCTGTTTTTGTTAGTATTACCACTCTCAGGTTTTAAAATACTTGCTGTTTTATAACTAAGCATGTGCAATACAATGCTCTAATGCACTGAGCAAATATAGAAGCCACTTACCATTTTTATATTAAAAAAGTTATCTTGACTCAGGCTTCATATCACAGATTCATATTTCATAAAATTATTATATCCATTGCTTTGAGTCAGATTTTATTACTCTGTGGATTGGTTTTACAGCATATTGTAATGTTTATTATATGAACAACATTTAAAGCTGTAGTCTCCTGAGCGTCTTTTCTGTTTTAAGAGATTATTTTGCCTTCTCTTCTTCCTATCCATTCCTCTATCTTGCTTTCCTTTTTTTTCTAGTTTAAGTTGTTATTGTTATTAAAGAATTCATCATTTTTAGGCAAAGTATTATTTAATGGTGCCTAAAGGTAAAGGAACTGAATAGGAAATAGGTTGTCATTCTTCTAGTCAGTTATTACGATGGGGATTTTATCTCCTTGAGAAGATTAAAAAAAAACCAGCTTTTCACAAGCTCATTAGATTGAGTAATCTTCCTACCTTCTCTCTTTTCTCATCTCCTTCCCTTCTTTCCATATATGTGTATATACATGTAAATAAAGTTATTACTATTATTTTTATGTTTTTGAAACTGGTAATGTTGAGTGCCTTTGGTAAGCACCATGAAACTTTTTTAGCAATAAAACATAAACAAAATACTACCTAAGATTGTTTCATATGAACTTAGAGGATTAAATTGGATTCTTTTGTAATGTTTAGCTGTATTAAATGTGAAGCAGACTTAAATTTATCTTAAATATAAAGAAGATGGTATCTTACTTTAGTACTATAATTTGTATTAAAGACAAATTATGTAAGTTGTGGAAAATAGATAACTGGCTGGTCCAAATATGAAGCCTACCTGTCCTGACCAGAAATACTACAGATGGGTATAATGGTGCATTCATGAAGTACCAGTTGTTTTAAAAGGAAGAGTAGGAAAATCGTAGTCTAAGTCAGCCCTGGACAGAACAGTGGGACCCTCTCTGAAAAACAACCAAAACATAAAGGGTTAAGAGTATGGCTTGAGTGGTAATGTACTAGCAAGCGTAAGGTCCTGAGTTTAAACCTTAATGCTTTAAAGAAAAAATGTAGGTGAGCCCTGGTGACTCACATCTGTAATCCTAGCTAATCAGGAGGTTTGAGATTTGATGATTAATATAAGAAGCCAGCCTGGATAGAAAAGTCCATGAGACTATTACCTCCAGTTAACCACTAAAAAGGCAAAAGTAGAATTATGGCTTAAGTGGTAGCGCCTCAGCTATGAGTGAAGAAGACAAGTAAGAGCATGAGGCCCTCAATTCAAGCCCTACTACTGGTACAAAAAAAGCTTGCAGTAAATGGAAAATGATTTTGGACAATTTCACATTGCAAGTTTTTTGCCTTAAAAACTTAAAGATTTTAAAAAATTGTTACTATATTTAAAAAAATTATTGTTACTATAAAGATGATGTAGAGGCAACTTACCTTTCCTTACACCAACCTTGTTGACATCACTATTTAAATTTGTTGCATTGTGTCTGAAATGTTTATAATGGAAATATAAGGACTTAAAACATTGTAAACATTGGCAGTTTACCTATTCTTTTTTTAAATTTTTATTTATTTTTTTATTGTGAAAATACTATACAGAGGGGTTACAAGTACATGGGCAAGATAATGAGTACATTTCTTATCAAGCATTGTAGCCTTCTCCTTTGTTTCCCCTTCCCATCCCTTCCCATCCTCCCCCCGCCCCCCCCAGTCCTCCCCATCCCCCCCCTAAAGTTGTAAAGTTCGTTTTCGACATAACAACTTGTACTTCTCATTGACCTATTCTTATTTCTGTAAGAAAACAGGTTCTAAGATGCTAAAATCAAATGATATTTTATACTGATTGAGGAAGCATTCTCTGCTTATATGGGATTATTTGGAAACTATTTGCCGAAAAGTTTTCTACTTAAAAGCTACTAGTGAATTTTTGGTATTTTACTATTAAATGTTCATTCCACTGGCATAAATCTTTGGTACCGTAAAAATGCCATTGGCCATATGAAGTAGGCCTTAATAACTTTTATCAGTCATAATATCTTCTTTGTTAATAGGTTTAATGAGACTTTTTCTTTTGGCTAGATTTTATTAGAGGTCTTGGTAGAGAACTCAAGAGGTCATTTCTGCTTTACACTACGTGTCCCTGTATTGAGGAAGAAAAGCCAAAGACTTTCATTTATTTTTTATTTTGCTGACATAGAAACATTCATTTAGAAGTAATTTTCAATACTTAGTTAAGTTTCTTAAACCTTTATTGAGTGCCATCAGCATAAAATTATGTTGCACAAATGTGTAATAGCATTATGTTTTCTGAACGTAAGTAAAATATGTAGTGGTAAGACTGTTAAAATGCTAGATGTTAATGCAACAGTAACAACATATACAAATTGTAGAAGTAGCACTTACTGATCACACTGAACTTGGATTCGTATTAGACCACTCAGTTTATCTGTTTATTTTTTTTTTTACCGTTTATTTGTGTTTTTTTTTTCCATACTGTGCTTAATGTTTGCTAAGCAGATCTTCTGCTACTATAGCTACCTTCTTTAGTCCCTTTTTTTGTTTTAGTTATTTTGAGATAGGGTATCACTTCCTACCCCAGTAAACATAGATTGTATTCCTCCTGTTTGTGCCTTTTGGATGAGTTAATAGGCATATACCACTACACCCAGCCATCATGCTTCCCAGTAGCTTAGAAAGACTGATGTGTTTGTCAACATACCTTGCTGTAGAGGCTTGGAATTTTGGAGATTCCCTAATGGAGATTCCCTGATCTCTTCCTTTAAAGTATATAGGATTATAGGTTCACTGTTCCTGGCCATACCTTTTCAGTTTGTTCCCTTGTTTACCTCTGCTGTGTATTTTCTAACTGTATAATTTTAGGCAAGGTATTTTTCATTTCTGAAAAGGTTATTATGTTACCCAAAGACTTATAATAAGGAATAAATGCTAACCTTGGAAATAGAACAGTGACTGTCCCTTGGTAAATGCTAATAAAATTTTACTATTTCTTTTTTTTTAATGATATTTTCTCAGTGCTAGGATTTGAACCTAGGAAAAAGCCAAGGTTTTTAAAGTGTGTTGATACAGAAAGGTTGTTTAGTGAGAGACAGTAATTGGATAAACTAATAGAATAAATTAATAGAATTCTGTTGTAATACTGTGTAGGAAATTATATATTCTCCAAGCATTACTCTCGAATCATAACCATACTCAGGAATTTAGAAGACTTTTTTTTTCTCAGGTGGAGAGGAATTACTAAAGGCTTTTAAAGTGTGAATGACACTAAATTAATAATTGATAAAAGTCACTATGAAAACAGTAAGAAGACTGTGCAGTCAAGATATGACATTATGATGGCTTGAAAAAAGGGCAGTTGGACAAGGGCTGATGGAAAAGATGACAGGGAGAGGCTTTTGGAAAGTAAAAACCAACCAGATTTTATGTTCACTTTCAGGCTAAGGCCAAGTGAGAACTAAAGGTAGGATTATTGTAGGTGACTAGGTGATTATCGAATTTATCTTGATTAAAGTAGAATGTCAAGGAGAAAAGTTTTGGGGTAATGGATGGAATAATTTTGTATGTGTTGAATTTAATTTCCTGTGGTACTCCTAGGTAGAGATTTTTGTAGGCAGTTGGGTATTTTGATCCTAACCTTGGGAAATAATGATTTTAAAAATGATAAATGTAGGCTGGGAATGTGGCTTACTGGTAGAATGTTTGTCTAGCATGCATAAAGTCCTGGGTTCGATTCCTCAGTACCACATAAACAGAAAGAGCTGGGAGTAGTGCTGTGGCTCAAGTGTGGGGTAGAGTGCTAGCCTTGATCAGAAGAAGCTCTGGGGCAGTGCCTATGCTCTGAGTTCAAGCCCCAGGACTGGCAAAAAAAAAAAAAAAAAAAAAAAGATCAATGCTTGAAACATAAATGAAAACACTTAGAACCCAAATGTTTAAGAAGAGAGCATGGCTGAGGATGCAGTCTTGGGAATGAATAGATTTAAAAGATTGACAGAGAATGAAGATTGAACCAAACAAATATAGATGAATAAGCACAGATCTGGGGTTAAAATCAGGAGATTTAGAGGAAGGGACCATTAGAGAGGAAATAGCTTCTAACTGGAGAGCATTCCTACAGTATAGTTACTTCAGGTAGGTCTATTAGTGTATATAAGAAGGAACTACAATGGTAAAACTATAAGGCATGGACAATTTCAGAGGAACAGTGGGACAGAAATCTGATTGTAGTTTATTTAGGACTGATTGGGTTACAAAAAGGATATT